TTAGGGTATTGCTGGTCTCATAGAGTGAATTAGGAAGTCTTCCTTCCACTTTTTTCTTCTGGAAGAGTTTTTAAAGAATGGGTATAATTTCCTCCTTAAATGGTTGGTATTATATGTTGGCTAATTGAACATAATTAAAAAATAAAAAGAATTCACCAGTGAACCCATCTGGGCCTGGTGCTTTCTGTTTGGGAAGGTAGTTAATTTTGATTCAATTTCTTCAGTACACATAGGCCTATTTAGATTATCTATTGGCAGATTGAGTCAAAGAATTGGTCCATTTTTTTCTTTTTTTTTTTTTAATTTTATTTATTTATTTGAGAGAGTGAGAGAGAGCATGAGCAGTGGGGAGGGGCAGAGGGAGAAACAGACTCCCTGCTAAGCAGGGAGCCCAAATGTGGGGCTCTATCCCAGGACCCTGGGATCATGACCTGAACTGAAGGCAGATGCTTAACCAACTGAGCCACGCAGGTGCCCCAAGAATTGGTCCATTTCATCTACATTATGTATTGCCTACAAATTTGTAGGCATAGAGCTGTTGAAAGTTTTACTTTATTTGCCTTTTAATATCCATAGGATCTGTAGTGATGTTCCCTTTTTTTTTTACATTAAACTTTATTTTTATTGAAGTATAACATAATACAAAAGAGTATGTAAATCAGGAGTGTAGAGCCAGCTATACTTAGTGAGTTTTTTTATTTCTGGTATTAGTAATTTGTGTTTTTCCTATTTTTTTTCTTAGCTTAGATAGGCGCTTATTGATTTTATTGGTCTTTTCAGAGAACCAGCTTTGTTTTATTGACTTTCTCTGTTGATTTTCTGTTTTTCATTTCATTGATTTCTGTTCTAATTATTATTTTTTTCTCTTTCTTTTAGATTTAATTTGCTCTCCTTTTTCTAATTTTGTAAGGTTGAAGCTTATATTATGGCGTTTAGATCTTTCCTTTGTAATATATGCATTCAGTGTGTTAATTTTTACTCTTCAGGGCGCCTGGGTGGCTCAGTCGTTAAGCGTCTGCCTTCAGCTCAGGTCATGATCCCAGGGTCCTGGGATCGAGTCCCACATCGGGCTCCCTGCTCAGCGGGAAGCCTGCTTCTCCCTCTCCCACTCCCCCTGCTTGTGTTCCTGCTCTCACTGTCTCTCTCTGTCAAATAAATAAATAAAATTTTAAAAAAAAAAAATTTTTTTTACTCTTCAAAGTGCTTTTTTGGCTGCATCTCACAAATTTTGATGTTGTATTTTCATTTTCATTTAGTTAAAAATACTTTAAAATTTCTCTTGATATTTCTTCTTTCACCATGGTATTTAGAAGTTGTTTAGTCTCTTAAGTATTTTGAGATATTCTAGCTGTCTTTCTGTTACTGATTTATAGTTTATTTCCTGTGTGGTCTGAGAGCAGACATTGTATGATTTCTATTCTTTGACATTTTTTTTGGTCCCAGAATATGGTCTGTCTTGGTGAGTGTTCCATATGAGCTTGAGAAGAATGTGTATTCAGCTCTTGTTGTATGAAGTAGTCTGTAGATTTCAGTTATTTCCAGTTGATTGATGGTATTCTTGAGTTCAACTGTGTCCTTATTCATTCTCTGCCTAATGGATCTGTCCGTTTCTGATAGGAGATGTTGAAGTCTCCAACTATAATAGTGGATTTGTCTACTTCTCCTTGCTGTTCTGTTAGATTTTGCTTCATGTGATTTGACTCTCTTATAAGGTACATACACATTAAGGATTGTGATATCTTCATAGAGGATTGACATTTTATCATTATGTACTCTCCTTTTTATCCTTGGTAATTTCCTTGTTTTGAAGTGCGCTCCGTCTGAAATTCATATAGGTACTCCAGCTTTGTTTTGATTAGTGTTAGCACAGAATATCCTTCTCCACACCTTTATTTTTAATTTATATGTGACTTTATAGTAGTGAATTTCTTGTAGACAACATATAGTTGTTTTTTTTTTTAGTTGTGTTTTGTTTTTTCATCCACTCTGACAATCTCTGTCTTTTAATTGGTGTATTCACTCCTCTGACGTTAAAAGTGATTATTGATATAATTGGTTTAATAGCTACCTTATATGTTAATGTTTGCTATCTGTTGCCCTTGTTCTTTGTTCCTATTTTTCTCTTTGGACATCATTTCTTCAGATATTTATTTTCTGTCAATCTCCCTCTTTTTTTATTTTTAAAGATTTATTTATTTATTTGAGAGAGAGTGCACATGCCTGGGGGAGCGGGGGATGGGCAAAGGAAGAGGAGCGAGAGAATCCGAATCAGACTCCACACTGAGCACAGAGACTGACCCAGGGCTGATCCCACGAACCATGAGATCATGACCTGAACTAAAACCAAGAGTTAGATGCTTAACTGACTGAGCCACCCAGGTGCCCACCTGTGTCATTCTTTTTCTTCTGAGAATCAAATTATATTTATGTTACACTGATCAGTAGTATCTAATAGGTCATTGATGCCCTTTGATTTATCTGTGTGCTTCATTTTTGGGTAGTTTCTATTTCTATGTATTCTAGTTCACTGATTTTTCTGCAGTGTCTAAAGTGCTATTAATCTCATTCAGTGTGATTTTTTAAATTTCAGATACGTTTTTCATCTTTAGAAGCTTCCTTTAATTTATTTATATGTATAAAAGATGTATATGTGAAAGAAAGATATGTATACATCTTATATATATGTATCATATATCATATATGTCATATATATCTTTCATTTCTCTTCTCCATTATGTTTTTTATAAGATTTTATTTTTTATTTAAAGGTCTTATTTATTTATTTGAGAGAGCAACAGAGAGAATGAGAGAGAGCACAAGTGGGGAGGAGAGGGAGAAGCAGGCTCCCCGGTGGGCAGGGAGCCCAACACAGGCCTCGATCCCAGGACCCTGGGATCATGACCTGAGCTGAAGGCAGACATTTAACCGACTAAGCCTCCCAGGTGCCCCAGATTTTACTTTTTTAAAAGATTTATTTTTGAGAGGGAGGGGGAGAGAGAGAGAGAGAGAGAGAGAGCACGAGCAGGGGGAGGGTCAGAAGGAGAGGGAGAGAAGTGGACTCCCCACTGAGTATGGAGCCTGATATGGGGCTTGATCCCACGATCGTGACCTAGCCGAAACTAAGAGTTGGACACTTAACTGACTGAACCACCCAGGTGCCACTATGAGATTTCATTTTTAAGTGATCTCAAAACCCAACATGGGGCTCAAGCTTATAACCCTGAGATCAAGAGTTATAAGCTCTGCCAACTGACCCAGCCAGGCACCCCTCTTCTCTGTTACTTCTCAAGTGGATGCTGGATATTGTGAATTTTATTGGGTATCTGATTGTGTTAAATTCTTTTGAATAGTGTCAGACTTTGCTCTAATGACTAGTTAAACTATTTGGAATAACTTGGTACTTTTGAGGCTTTCTTTTAAGCTATTAAGTGGATCTAGGGCAGCCTTTGATGTAGAACTAGTTTAGCTCTACTACTAAGATGATGCTTTTCCAAGGACTCTATCCATTATCTCATGTAGTAGGAGCCATTCTGACTGCTGAGAACACAAAATATCCTCAGCCCTGTGTGAGCTCTGAGATTTGTTCAGCCTGTTTGCTGGTGCTTCTTTTCCTGCCCTTGGGAAGTTTTCATTCCCACCTGCACAGGTTAGTGCTCAGCCATAGACTTGGAAGGAACCCTTCTGTAGATGTCTGCTTGTTTTCTCTCTGTACGGGTTCTCTTATTCCAGTATTCTCTTAACAATCCTTGTTGCCTGGCTTTCCTAAACTCCAGTCTCTGTCTTCATAATTCCACAAGAAGGAAAACTGAAAACTCTGGGTTCTGTCTGACTCCCTCCCACCCCCTTCTACTCTGGCTTTGACACTGTTCCAGGTTGTAAGCTAGGGCAATTTTAGGCCTCCCCTGTTTTGTTTTTCTGTCTTTGGGATTGTATCTTGCTCTCTTTTCCAGTGTCAGAAATGTTTGTTTCCTATTTTTTCGGTCCGTTTTTATAGTTGTTGTCACTGGTACTCCGGAATGTCCAGAAGCAGGAGACCTTCAGTTGACATTTTGCGTTTCCATTATTTTGTTTAGAAGTTAATTTTGCTGCCCTGTAAGGGGTGTGGTGGTTTTGCCTTTTAGTTTAAATCATTATGAGTGTTGGTATCTTGGTAAGAAGCCTCTGTTATTTATGTAGGAAATCACCCAGTGCCGGGGAATAGTACTGTTCCATTCTCTTCTTTGTAATAGGGAAAGTGATGTCCTAAGCAGAGGTGATAGAGATTTTGCCTGACACGTGGCATCATTTCTTAGAATATGCAACAACTTGGCCATTGGTTTTTCTTCCACTGTGTGTGGTTTTAGGCTTATTCTTCAGCTGATGAATTCACCACCTACTCCATTCTTGGGCTGTGAATCCATAGGCTTGAATTCTGTCCTGAGTGCCAAAACTTTGCAACTGCTGAGTTCATTGGTTTTTTTGCCTGGAAAAATTATTAGGGCAAAATTGATACTTTGATTGGGGAGAGAAAGAGGCAGATTTTCAGATGAAAGCTGTTCCATCCCAAATAGTATAAAAAATTTTTGGCTTATTATCTAAAGGCATGGGTAGAATTTGATGTATCATGAGAAAGAGAAAGAAGCTCATAAATAGTAAACTTAGTGATGAGTGGGCATCATAAGACCACACATAAGTAGGGTAGCCATGTATCCTGTTTGCTAAAGACGGTCCCGAACACCTGTTGTCTTGGAATAATTACCATCCCCTTTTATTCTTGGAAGTGTCATGGTTTTGATGTCTCTCTCTGTATACTTATATACATAAAAAGTCATCCTAGTTGTAAAGAATGGTTTAAAGAATACAAAGTAGGTGTTAATTCCCTGGTTATTGTTGTCCTTGAATGATGGATTTACTGTTTACTTTGTATTTTTGTTGAATAGTTTATAGTGACTAATAAATGTGTGTGTGTGTGTGTCTGTGTGTGGTTTTATTTTTTTTAATTTTTGGTGTTTTTCCTACAGATGATCTCAATGCCACCCACCAACACTGTGTTTTGGCTGGTTTACCACCTCGGTTTAGTTCTACCCACCGAGTGGCAGAGGTAAGTGTAAATAAAAATGTGATTCAAACTTAATTGGATGTGACAGCAGTGGTTGAATGAGCAATTTTGCATAGAGTTTTGGAAGAGTATTTGATAGGAAAATTGCTTCCATCGAGCTTGACGTTAGCCTTTATTTACTTGCTTTTTTAGCTTTGAGTTGTGTGGGATACAGTTTTAAAAAGTGTGTTCACAGCATGGGATTAGTATATTTTGCTTCTTTGGGGTTCTGTTTCTTGGAGAAGGTAACATGCTATTGGCAGGTGTTGCTAGCTAGAGATTTTCTAAGGGGTTTTTATCTGTCAAGGTCAAGGACAGGAGATGGCCAGAAGGAAATGGGGAGGGGGCACCTGGGTGGCTCAGTCGTTAAGCGTCTGCCTTCGGCTCAGGTCATGATCCCAGGGTGCTGGGATCGAGCCCTGCATTGGGCTCCCTGCTCAGCGGGAAGTCTTCTTCTCCCTCTCCGCCTCCCCTTGCTTGTGTTTCCTCTCTTGCTATGTGTCTCTCTGTCAAATAAATAAAATCTTTAAAAAAAAAAAAAAGGGAAATGGGGAGAGTTTGTGTGCTTGTGCATGTGTTAGCTGTGACCAGACTCCGATGGTTGAGAATTTACATTTCCCTTAACTTTTGGGTCAGGTTTCTGGGCATGTGAATGTAAATTAAGGAGAGAGTTACAGTGGTGCCCAGTAATTTCTGAGCTGCCCAGTTGAGTTCATAACCCAGACTTTATTGCCAAATTCTGCCACCACTTGCGGTGGCTGATGGTCAGCTGATTAGACCAGTTTGGTGGAAACTTAGGAGGTGGGAAAAACTCCTAGTAGTCACCCTGCGGTACTGTGTGATCAGTTAAGGAAGGTTCCAGAGAGCAGGCGAATAATCGTGAGAAGGCCTACAAGTTGACCTCGTATCCAAGCTTGTTTTCTGTGCTTTGTTTTGTAGATTGACTTTCCATCTTGCCACAGGGGGACCAGGGTGGGAAGTAAGTTCTGTTAGGCAGTCGGGAAGGAAGGACTGACTGAGTAGAGGGAGGAATAGAAGGAGGAATGCATGTATGGACAAACGAATGAACTCTTTATTGGGTGCTTTTGCTGTACCAGGCTCTTGGTTGACTCTCAAGCCTGGGTGATTTGGGGATGACATTGCCATTAGTAGAAACAGCAGTTGAAGACATTGGGGGAAGACAGTAGTTCATTCAGTTTTGAACAGGCTGAGTTGGAGCTCCCCAGTGGAGCGGTCCGGCAGATAAAGGCAAACAAGGGACTAAAAAGCTCTCCTCCCCCCTCTCCTGCAGTAGGACATGCCTACACAGAAGCCGCCAAAAGGGGCCCTCCGGAGTACAGTTTGACTAGTACCCCTGTGCCCTGATTTCCTTTTTTTCCAGGTGGACCAATTTTATGAGGGTAGCGGTACTTTCAGAATATCCGGAGAGTCAGCATTTTCTGCTTTAATCACAGCTGTATTTGTGTCCTCTAAGTTTTAGGCAACATTGTGAGCATTAATTAACTTTTAAATAAAGAAGCGGGTTTGTGTAGTGATGCTGTTGGGAGAAACACATTATCTCAAATCTATGTCTTATATAGTCTCTGTACTTGAGTTCAAGCTACTAATTAGACACCTCCACTGTGAATGATATAATGATCTTGCTTTCTGTGTTATAGATCAGGGTCAGCAAACTGTGGCCCGTGGGCTAGCCAGCTGTTTTAATAAATAAAATTTTAATTGAAACACAGCCACACTCATTTGATTCCATATAGTTTATGGCTGCTTTGGAGTTACAAAGGCAAAGCTGCAGAGTCGCAACAAGACCTTAAGGCCTGCAAGCCTAAAATGCTTACTATCTGGCCTTTTAAGAAAAAGTTAGCTGACTTTGTTTTATGTGATCTTATGTATACAGGCTTTAATAATCACCTTAAAGTAAAAAGTAATTTTTGAAATGTCACCATTTTAAGGTCACTTTTTATTTCTATGAAAAGTCAAAAATGATAATGTTCAGTGTTGGTAAAGTTACGGTGAAAGAGGTACATTCATATACTTCTGGAAGTTTTTCTAATTGGTATACTTTTTGGAAAGCTATATGGGGATGTGTATAAAGTACCATAAAAATATCTTTGATCTCATAACACTGTTTTTGGGAATCAAACCTAGGAAACGCTTCAAAGAAAGCATACACACACACATATAAAAATGTTCAGAGTGACTAAAAGTAGTGAAGAGCTGGACAGAACTTTAGTGCCTCTATAGTACATGACTAGTTTATTAAATTAGTATCACCTCAGTGAGCAACCATTGAAAATACTTACTTTGAGTACTTACGTACAGAGAAAAACAGAATAGACACTGATGTGTACATTCTGATCACAGCTGTGTGGACAAACAAAGAATCATGTGCAATAAAAATAATTAAAATAAGGTAAGGTGACAGGATTATTATTTTATCTTAAAAATTTTTATTTCATGTATTGTTGTCAGTAATAAAAGAGGGAAAAGATTTTTTTTTCTAACATGAAAGTTACATTATTATTTCCCTCAAGAGAAGAGATGGAAAAAATCCATGCAGTGTTGTAGCCCTCACTTACCTTATAAATGTCCTCTCCTTCATACAGAATTAACATGGCATGTCTTATCTGTGCCACACAAAATGATTTGCTATTTTCTGTCCATTCAAAATATGTCAGAAACAGATTGTCTTAAGGAAGTGATGTTCTGAATTTCATTTTAGTTAATCAGAGAAGAAATCCATTTAGTTTTTCGGTTACCTGTGACTAGATTATGTCTGACAGCTCTCGACTTTTATTGGATTTTTTTCTTCTGGTTGGAAAAGAAGAAATCTGTTCTCCTGAATATCTTTTTTTTAATTTAAATTTTATGAATTTTATATATAATTATATTGTGACTCGGTAGTTACTCAGACGATTCAAAATTCAGGAAGTACCCAAGGATAAGTAGTTTAAAGTCTCTTCCTCCTAAAGCCAACCAGTTCCTCCTCCCCAGAGGCAACTAGTGTTATCAGCTTCTTCTTATCCTTTCTGTGATACTTAATACATATGTAAGCAAATATGTGTTTAATTAAAAACATTTTTTATACAAATGGTAGCCTACTCTACATACCATTCTGCACTTTTGTTTTAGTAAGCCTTGTTGATAACTTACCAATATGTAATTCATACCTTGGAGTAGGCGGTGGTTTTTTTCGATATGACACCAAAAGCACAAATAACCAAAGAAAAAATAGGTAAGTTGGACTTCACCAAAGTGAAAAACTGTTATGCTTCAGGGGCGCCTGGGTGGTGCTTTGGGTTGAATGTCCAACTCTTGGTTTTGGCTCAGGTTATGATCTCAGGGTCATGAGATTGAGCCCCATGTTGGGTTCTGCACCCAGCATGGAGTCTGCTGGAGATTCTCTCTCTCTCTCTCTCTCTCTCTCCCCATGCTCTCTCTCCTCTCTCTACAATAAATAGGGGCACCTGGGTGGCACAGTCAGTTAAGCATCTGACTCTTGGTTTCAGCTCAGGTTGCAATCTCAGGGTCATGAGATCGAGCCCCACCTTGGGCTCCATGCTCAGCACTGAGTCTGCTTAAGATTCTCCCTGCCCCTCCCCACTGTTCTCTGTCTCTCTCTTAAATAAATAAATCAATCTTTAAAAAAAAATAAATAAATCTTAAAAAAAAACCACCCAACCCTATTATGCTTCAAGAGGTTCCATCAAGAAAGTGGAAAGAGAACTTATAGAATGCGAGAAAGTATTTTCCCATCACTTATGTCACAAGGTACTTGTGTCTAGAGTATATAAATAACTCTTACAACCCAATAATTAAAAAGATAAATAATCCAATTTTTTTAAAAGACAAAAGATCTGAATAGACATGTCTGCAAAGAAGATGCACAAGTGGCCAATAAACACACAAAAAGATGTTGAACATCATTAGTCATCAGGGAGATGCGAAGCAAAGCCATATTGAGTTATCACTTCACACCCACTAGAATGTGGGTGTGAATGGCTGCAGTCAGAATCACAGTGACAAGTATTGGTGAAGATGTGCAGAAATTAGAACCCTCCTGCACTGCTGGAGGGAATATAAAATGGTTCAGCCACTTTGGGGAACGGGCTGACCTTTCCTCAGAATTTTAAATACAGTTACCTCAGGAGCCAGCAATTCCATTACCGGAGAGAGATGAAAACTCATATGTGAATGTTCTTAGCAGCTTGACTCATAATAGGCAAAAAGTGGGAGCAATCCAGATAATGAATGGAAAAGCGAAAGCGGTATATCCATACAGTCAAATATTTGGCAGTAAAAGGGAAGGAGTTACTGACATCTGCTACAACATGGATGAACCTTGAACTGTCATGCTCAGGGAAAGAAGCCAGTCACAAAAGATCACCTATCGTATGATTTTATTTTTAGGAACGGTCCCGCATAGCCAGACCTGTGGTCACAGGAAATAGACTGGGGGTTGTCTGGAGCTGGGCAGGTTGGCAGGAAGGGGGCAGCAGGTGACTGCTAAGGGGTACCGTTTGTTTTGGGGAGGTGACCAAAATGTTCTGAAGTTAACTGTGGTGATGGTGGCATAACTCTGTGAATATACTATAAACTAATGAATTGTATGTTTTCACGGTGTGACTTTTATGACATGTGAATTATGTCTCCATAAAGTTGTTACCCGTCCCTGCCAAAAAACAAAAGCAAACACAAAAACGGGCCTTATTATAGGTTCTGTACAACAGATAAAACTCTGAACACCCAGAAAAAAAAGTACCCTCCCCCTCCCACCCCTTTTTTTTGGCTGCAAGTATGGTTTCACTGTAGTTTATTTAACAAGTCCCCTATTGATGGGAAACTTAGGTTATTTCCAGTCTTTTTAATAAATGGCATTGTGATTAGTAACCTCTTACACAGGTCGCTCGATACTTGGGAAAGTAAAAGTGTGAGTAGAGCATGTTTATAGACAGGTTGCAGGCGTGGCTCCGGGATCAAAGTGAGTGGTGATTCAGCTTTGCTTTCTGTTTTTTCCTTTGTAGCAAATTGGAGTCGCCTGCTCTTGTGCTCCCAGCACTCTGAGATCTTCATATTAAAATACGCATTAGTCAGACTTCCGTATTTGGCACCGTAACTTCGTTTTTCCCAGGCTTATCCGTGACACATTGTGTAAAATGGCACTAACCATAGAAAGAATTTTTATACCAGGGCATTAGTCTTCAAGGTTATTTCTAAGGAATCTGTTTAAATTATATATGTCGAAAGAGAAATACTTTGGGGATACGTTTTCCTCACTGGGTCGGAAGGGTATTTACAGCTTGCTTTTTATCGTTCTAGGAAATCATGTTGTCATCAAAACCAGTAGATCGCACTCCGTCTGCATCCTTTTCTTTTCTGACATATATCATTCAAAGGAGGCGTTGTCCGTTTGACCTCTGTTTTGCTCCCACAGACAGAGAGAAGGATGAGCTAGTTACCCGTGCCCTTGCCAATACCAAGGTACCGAGTTACGCCTCTCAACATGCCTTGAGGGCATGAGCCACATATTCTCCATTATTTGAAGAACCTATTCTGCCAAGGGCTGCAGCTGCTTGGTTTTTGCAGAAAAGGAAAATGAGTTCTTTGCCCTGCGTTTATAACTTCGATTTCTTTTTTTTTTTCCCACCGTTACCATTCCCTTTTGTGGGCTGTTGATTCGATCATTTTGATTACCTTTCTTTCCCTTTGTTAAGTTCAGGGCACTTACAGCGAAGTCAGTATCTTTGACTTCTCGGTTGATTAGTTATTCATCCAAAAACTACTTATTACGTTCCTTTTACATTTAGGACTTGGTTCTAGATACTGCAGTATCTGTAAAAAAAATATGTAATAAAATGGTGTGTGTGTGTGTATACATGTATATATACATACATGTACATACATGGTTTTAGCCTCAGGGAGCCTAGGGTTTAGTGATATAAGGCCCACATCATAAAAGAAAATCAGCAAGGAGAGTGGCCCAAGTGAGGCTAAGCCCAGAGCCCAGGGAGCTGGCCCCTATAGTGATTCTTAAGTTGAATATGGGCTGAGCTGTGGGGGCAACAGGTGAATGTATGGAAAAGGGACAAGTGTGAACATCCCCAGGAAGCACTGTATGGTAAACTTGGATTTTGCTTACAGTCTTGATTGCTGGTTCTGTCTCTGCAGTGCTCGACCGGAACCTTGGATTATATCTTAGAGCGCTGCCAGCTGGCTCTGCAGAATGTCCGTAATGAGGTGGACGGTGGTGATGTTTCTTTGAAATCCTTCGAGCCTGCAGTTCTGAAACAAGGAGAAGAAATCCACAACGAGGTGAGACTTTTCAAGAACTGGGAGGCTACTTGCGAGCTAACAAGTTGATCTGCCGTAATTTCTTATGGGTATGAGCCCTGAAACTCCTCAGTGAGAGACAAAGAACAGTTTAATTACCTACAGTGACAGCAGTAGCCAGAGTATCCGCATTTTTGTGCCAGTTCTGTAAGCCTCTCTTTCCGCAGGACAGTGCAAAGTGGGCCCATAATGTGGGCTCATGCAGGGCTTGTATTACAGGAGAGGAACTTGAGCCAAGGGAAGCTGAATCTTTTATAATAGGTAGTGAGCATGCCTGACCTTTGCTCGAAACCAGACACCGTCTTTATCCTCCAAGGCTGTTAGCATCCCTGCCCTTTGTTCTGGAGGAGAAACTATATCTTCCAAGGTTGTTTATGCTACCAAACATTCTTGCACTAGGAGGCTGAGGTGGAGGGAAGTTAGTGCCTTGCTCACAAGACATGCAGAAGCACGAGACTCATGAAGAGTAGTCTTCCCTCAAAGACCCGGGGGATCATGGGTGGGCCCTAAGAGCAAGTGTCAGTGCCTTGCTTGTTATTTACAAAATGAGGTGCAGTTCTGCAGTCAGACCAGCAGGATCCCGCCATCCAGGGTTTCACAAACTTTCCTGCTCTCAGTAACACCCTTTCCACTGTTTCTTTATCTTTGGACCATCCATGTTGTGGTCTACTTAAGACTTCTAAAAATTCCGCTCGTTTGTTTAAAAAGATTTATTTATTTATTATTTTAGAGAGAGAGGGAGAGAGAGGGAATCCCAAGTGGACTTCCCGCTGAGCACAGAGCCCGACTCGGGGCTCGATCCCATGACCCCGACCGAGATCATGACCTGAGCCAAAATCAAGAGTCAGATGCTGAGCTGACTGAGCCACCCAGGTGCCCCATAACTCAGCTCATCTTTTATGTAAATACATTTCTTTGAAAAGGAGGCTTTGTATTACCACTTTAAGTAGAAGCCAGTATCACTAGGCAAAAGAAAAAGGAACCAGAGAAATCTCGCTGGTGAAAACAGAGCAGGATTACCACCTTCCAGCAGGTGCTTTTGCTGGGAGGAGGCTCTGAGCCTCAAGTCTCCCATTATCCCTGGGAGAAGGGAGATTTGCATACAACTGCATGCATTTTCTAACAGTCATTGAATGTTATACTTCAAATGGGTGAATTTTGTCGTGGGTAAATTATACCTCAAAACAAAAAACATTAAAAGGAAAAAAGATTCCCAAGGGCTAGAGAACTGTTGAAGGTTATCACCAACCTGCGACTTTCTCTTTGCTAGAATTGGAAGGATTGATGGAGAATTCAGGATATAAAAACGTTCTCTTTCGTCCTTTCAACAAGTAATGACTGATCTTGTGTCTGGTATCTTCTGTGTACTTTAAGATATACTGGTAACTAAAACAGTCGTTCTAGTGTAGGGAGATGACAAGTAATAAACTTAAGGCATCTGTTCATCTGGTAGTATGTTAGACTGAGAGAGCTAGAAAACATTCCCACTGAGAAGATGTGCCGCGGGCAGGGGCTTAAAGGACTTGAGGAGTGAGCCATGTAGGTATCTGGGGAATAGCATTTGGGCAGAGGGAGAAGCCACCGCAAAATCTGTGATGTGGGAGAATGCCTGGTGTTTCCAGACTAGGTAAGGGACAGTCTACCATTGTGACTTGAATGGCAGGAGTGGTGCTGTGAGTAGGGGGACATGAGGTCACAGAGGTGGTATTAGGGGACTGGAAGGCAGCAGGTCGTATCAGTCCTTGGAGGTCCCTATAAGGACAACCACTTTCCCGTTTACTCAGAGGGAAATGGGGAGCCACTGAGGGGTTTGGAGCAGAGGAGAAACAGTGTCTGCTTCCACAATATCATCTAATGTCTTTAAAGAGATATTTAGGATCTTATGAACTGCTCCACACTTTGTGAAACATTGCCATAATCTCTAGAACCAAAGGCAAAGAAATTCTTCCTTAATGAGCAACACTTCTGATGCTCATAAGCTGCACTCAGGACTGACTTTCTTCCCTTCATTGTGCCTGATAAGTGTCCCATTTTCTCTCCTCTTTGTCCTTGCTAGAGACATTGTTGATAGCTACAACTTGAAGAGACATAAGCATTTATGGGCCTGGTGACCTCACTGAAATTAGACTTGGTAGCAAAGTTATGTCTTTCCCCGTATTTGTAGTAAAGAAATTCTAATCTGGAAATGTAAGTCTTTTCTTTCTCTACAAACTTTGCAATGTTAAGATTCAGGCTAGCAGAATGGGTGTTCTCTTTAACACCTAACCTGGCCTATTTTTGCCCCCTGTCCTTCTGGTCTTCTTCTCTGACTGACTGAGATGTTTTTTTTGTTTTGTTTTGTTTTTTAAAGATTTTATTTATTTATTTGACAGAGAGAGACACAGCGAGAGAGGGAACACAAGCAGGGGGAGCGGGAGAGGGAGAAGCAGCTTCCTGCCGAGCAGGGAGCCCGATGCAGGGCTCGATCCCAGGACCCTGGGATCATGTCCTGAGCCGAAGGCAGACGCTTAACGACTGAGCCCCCCAGGCGCCCCGAGATGTTTTGTTATCATCAACCGGTGGGGCGGTCTGTAACAATCACCCTGTTTATCTAACAGTAGAATATTGTCATCTGAACCCATTAGTCTCAGAAAGTAACTGGCTGCTTTTGTCATTGTATATGTTAGCAAAGTGGGATAGAGCTATATCAGAAGCCTTAGCCCCTTGAGACTGGTCTAGGGTTGAAGGGAGAGAGAGATCTTGAATCTGAATGGCGTGCGTGCTCATCTTGTCCATCCCCCCAGCCTTTGATTCTTCAAGGCCATCCCCTTAAAGAATGAATTCCGTATGTCAAGGCCTATCGGCAGATACTACTCTTCGGCCATACATGCTGGCCTGGGATGGAGCACTGGTATGCTGCCTTTCCACTGGGTCCCGTTGTTAAGCAATAGCACACATGTCCATAATAGTTCCCTCGGGTTCTTTATTGTTTGCTTTCCTCTTTCTTAAAAGTCATGTGCCTTTGCTGCACCAATTATAGGATGAAGCCCTTGGTTTTATGTGCTGCAGGCTTTCAGGCTATGTGGGTGTAGAAGTGGCTTGTTTTCCTTAGATGCTTTCTAACTAAGCAATTTGGGAACTTTGGGGAGTAGAACTGAATACCTTAAACTATTTTTTCCTAATTTAGGATGCTTAGCAAAGATGTTTTTTTTTTTCCCAGTCGGAAGCAGAATCTTGCTGCATGTTTTTAAATATTCTGTTTTCCTTCTTAAAAATAGTTTGGGTCTGGTCAAACCTGCATCTTCTTTAAAGTTACTTTGAAAGGGCCTTTGAAGTGTGGCTCTTTGTACACTGGACATTAGCATCTCTCCCTGCTCTCACATCTTTCTCAGTGAGATAACTTATTTCAGTTATTACAGTGAGACATTAACCCCAGTGGGCCTGCTCACGCATCTCATGAGGGAACTGTGTGAGCTGAGCTGGGGCCAAACCAAGAGCCCACTAACTTGGCAGAAGAAAAGTAGGTGACAGTTGCTTTACCCGTAAGAGAATGGAGATGATTTACAATATATGGTGATGCAGTAGCTCATAAATGTGATTTTGAACTTTACTGTTGAATGCCTAAGGTTTCAGGTAGGCAGGTTTCTTCCCCTTCAGACTTTTCTTAAACATCTTTTAGAAGAAAAGTGTTTCTTGGCAGATCTTTTAGATTGTTCCAGGTACAGGTTAGTTATGAGGCTTTGAAGAGATGGTTTTCCGAGTCAGTTATGAAGCTGACACTGTTGTGGACATATTTGCATATTTCTCTGATCATTCAGACGGCCCTTCAAGAACCTGCAAGGCCTCCAGGTTGTCAGTAGGCTTTGGGTAAATACCTGGGGGCATTGCTTACCTTTGTGTTGCATTGGACCAAAGGTTGTATCATAGTGAATTTCCTTTAAGGGCATGTCCAAAATCTGGGAGTTTGGTTCATAAGCATCGTGAAGTCTGAGAGAACCTCAAGAGGGTTCCTGTGTGTTGTCTCCCTGAGGCTCACATCTTTGGGGATCTGCGTCACCCATGGCGTGTCCTTGGCCTCACGTCAGCCGCAGCCCTCCTGATGGCTTGTCTCTTATTTCTGCTCTGATAGTTATGAGCTCCCCGGGGGCACCATACCCTGGAAAAGGGTTGGAGACCCTACTCCTAGCATGCTTAGAACTTTATTGGTCAGTTGCTATGGTTGGCCTTTGATTTATTTATTACTTATTTTATTTTTTATTTTTTAGCCCTGAAGAAATTCAGGCTTCCCTTCTATTCTGAGTCCTGACCCTTCAGCTTTTGTGCAGCATCCACCCAGCAACTTTTCCTTTCCGATCCCCACAGTTTAGGGACGAAAAAAATTAAAATAGTGCCTTCTGAGTTTTAAGTTCCTGAAATCTAGACCCTAATAGGTGAATGAACTAATTACATAGGATAATCGATTTTCTTTCGTGGGATACCACAGTGTCCTCAACAATGGAAATAACTGGCCTCAAGATAGGAAAACCTTTTAAAATCTTTTCAGCTCTCCCTGACATAGGGCGTGATGCCATGCTGATAGGCTGTTCCTGTAGCGTGAACACATTTCATGCAAAATCTCTTAAAAATAAGTCATCTTGTAATAAATAACGTTGTTAAACCTGTATCTTCAGAGTTGAACTACACTTGTATTCGCTCTCCCTTCAAAGCAGTCAAGTTTACAACTGTCTCTTAATACCACAGATAAGGTTCAGCAACTATTGTCTTAATATTGTCTACATTCTTTTTTCTTTTTTTGTTTAAACAGCTTTAACTGAGATCAGTCCTACATATCAAACAAACATTTGGTTAATGTAAACTAAAACCCTTTCATATGACTGGGTGTTCTCAGGTTAGTTATTTGAGCCATTTTCACCATTGTTAAATCTTCACAAGTTGCTTTTGTTTGCCTTATGAAAGTTCAATATGGATAAACACAAAAATTCTTTGTGGTAACAGGTAAAGATTATAATAGTTTGTCTGTGTAGGGAACACGATTACCTGAGCAAAGTCAGATGACCCAACATTAAGCTGTGAAAGCTCTACACTTCTTTAGAGGGCAGAGGTAAAAAGAGTTTGGGGGATGAATAGACTTGTACTTTGACAATAAAATTTGATTCTTTTCAAGTTGAAGATGAGTTTTCGAATATATGGGAAGTGGATAGAAAACAGTTTCTTACCCTTCCAAAACTTTACTCAGCCTCTCATCTACATATATTGGGATTGTTTCAGTTACAAGGGACAGAAAACTCAGCCTGAATTGGCTTAAGTAGAAAAGGCTCCAGGAACAGCTTGATCAAGGGCCAGGTGGTATCACCATGTGGTTTTTATCTTTTTATCTTGCAGTTGCTTCCTACTTTGTTGTCTCCATTTTCCCCATTTGTGGCGAAATGGTTGTAGAATGCTCTTCCTGAATCTTCTCAGTCTTCAAACTTACTGTGATTGAACATACGGTGATTGCCCCCATACCCGATTCTGTGACTAGAGAAATGTGGTGGGCTGATTGGCTGACACTTGGGTGGCACACTCCACCCCTGGTATTGGGGCTGGAGCTCTCCCCAGACCACATGGACTGGGACTGGGGAGGGGGGTCTGTTACCAAATGAATAGCGGGGTTTTGCTAGAATAGAAGGAGGAATGCTAAGGCGGCAAATAATAACCATAATAATAACCATAGTAAGTTCATAGGAAGGAAAAGCAATTATTAATGTCTTTGCTGCTCTTTCTACCTATTATCATGTGCCCTCAGTTGAAAAGTAACAATTTGAATGCCTGTAACTTTAATACACACCCCTACAATTAACTTTGTATTATTTCGTTATAAGGGCTAGGATTCTCACCAGCCCCTCCTGGCCCATAGTAAATTCTTTATTGGTTTTAAATTTAAGGAACTTGAAATTGGTATCTCTTAATATGTGTCTGTGTTTTGCTCTAAGTACTAGTCTTTAATAAAGATGTTTAAAAGAAACTGATTTTGATCATATCTTCCCTACAGAGTGCAGGCTGGTGTATACTTTAGGATCTCAGTATTTGTGTTTTGTTTTGCTTTTTTTGGTAAAACTTATTTTTATTAATTAATTTTGTTTTTCAGGATTTGTTGATGAACATAGAGTTTCCTCACCCTAAGCTAGGTTTTCTCACTAAGAAGACCTCAGTTTTAAGACTGCTCTTTTCTTGGCTTTGCAGAGATGCTCTGGAGACTCCAGGTTATATTGAAAACTGGTTAGGCTGAGCTTTTCTCACCTTTTCTCACCCTGTGGCTATTAAGTGACTGGAGGAGAATCGAGTGACGACCTTATTGTCCTTGATTGTCCCTCACGAGGGCATTATAACAACTGCCTTCTCCTTATGGTCCCCAGGTCGAGTTCGAGTGGCTGAGACAGTATTGGTTTCAAGGCAATCGATACAGAAAGTGCACTGATTGGTGGTGTCAACCCATGACTCAACTGGAAGGACTGTGGAAGAAGATGGAAGGCGTGGTAAGTACGTGAGGTCCGGGACCGTATTTTCTGGGATGCTCTGCTCTGTGACTCCTCTGCTGCCTAATTTGCATAGGGAAATACATAATTCATTATTCTAAACTATTAAGTCAGGTAACTCTTGGTAAGGAACAGCCCCAATTTTGTCTGTACAAGCTTAGTTTAGTTCAGTGAGTGTTTTATCGAGTATTTCCAACATACAAGGCACCATGTTGGACACATGCTAGGAAGTGACGTGGAGGGAACAACCGTGCAGCAAGAAGATTTAAAATTCATTTGCCGTTTCAGACTCACCAGGCACCGTTCTAAGGGTTTTCCCCGTATTAACTTCTGAAATTCGTACAACAGCCCTACGAAGTGTAGAAACTCTTATGAATCTTAATTTATAGATGTGAAAACTGAGACGTTGAGAAATTAAGTGCCTTGCCCCCAAGGTCAGAGAGCGAGCGGCTGAGCAAGATGGAGACCCAGGCTGTCTGGTCGTGTGGCTTGTGCTCTTAACCATGACGTTCAGTTTAACAAGGAGAGAGACGTGAATGTCGCCAGGTGTTACATTAGCTAAAATGAAAGCCTGTAATAGAGATTAAAAAAAAAAAAAAAAATCACGGTCCAGAGGAGGGAGTATTAAATTCAGAGCACTGGACCCAGACTGTTGTGAAACAGCAGATATGGCTTTTGGGGACTTTGGATGGGGAGGAGTAGGGTCAGATAGGGCATTTGGAGAGGAACATCAGGCTCCAGGAAGTGTACTAACAGGATGGCAGGTGGGGAAGGACAGCCTGCCCTGGAGCCAGGAGTCAGGGGATGCAGTTGGAAGTGTGGCTGGGAGAAGAGTTGAGGCCACTTGCAAGTTTTGAATTGTCTTAATTTAAATAATAGTAATAATAGCAGACTCTTATGTGATACTTATGAATTATGAGGCACTATTCCGAATGTTTCATATATAACTTATTTAACTTTTATGACAACCCCATGAAGTAGGTATGATGGTTCTCTATTTCATAAATCAGGAGACTGAACCACAAAAGGTTTACATAACTTCCTCAAGACCATACAGCCCTTGAAGTGGGGGACCTGGGATTTGAACTCAGGAAGGCTGGCTCTAGGGTCATGCCCTTCACTGCCTCACTGTCCTGCCTCCAAACTATTGACTTGGGAACGTAGTGGAAAAGTGGTAAAAGCCTGCCCAACTCTAGAGGTAGTACCACTGCACAGACTTGGAAATGTACTGGAAACAGTGAACTGCTCTGCAAAAATGTGTAGTTGGTGCTCACCCCTATTTTATAATAATGAAAATATCAAGTCACAACCCTGAAGGGGTCTTAGTTTGAAAGTCTGCGTCAGAATCCGGAAGTCCTTGCTTTCCAGACATCTCCTCAGATCTTTAAATCATGCCTTTTCATGGATATATGTCTGAGGAAGGAATGTTATAATCCTCCTTTTATTGTACTAACAGTATCACAAAAATGGGTTCCTCCAAAGACCTGAGTCTCAGTGTAAAACTGAGCATTGTAAAACTGAGTTGGAGATAATGAAAAGTCCATGCCTTAATCTCCTTAGTTCTGTTCCTAAAATTAGGCTGTGTGGTGTATGCTCCATTTTTATGGGATGGATATATAAAGGCAGCTTCAGTTTCAGGGAATTTTTTACTGTGTTATTCTGGTTTTGTCCATTTACATATGAGTTAGAAGAACCTCTTTATTTGCCAGACTTTGACTCTTAAGACATCAGGTTGACTTTGGGACTGTAATTTGACAACTCCGCAGATTAGAAAATTTGAATTGGCAAATAAATAAGAAGGGAACTCATTGATTTTGTTAAAAAAAAATTCTTTGCATTGCTTTTGTTCAAGGTTTTGTTTTGTTTTTTCTTCTTCTGAAGAGTAGTCTTTGGTGTTGGGAACTTAACTGATTACATTCATTATGAATTCATGTAAAAGCTTTAGTTATAATTTTTTTTTTAATCGGGCCACGGCACATTAGTTAGTTGGAATATCTTCTGTTTACTTTATGACTCTTGTGCAAAAAATACCAAGAAGAGCAATCTTGGGAGGGCTCCAGAGCGAGTTTCCTTGCAGTTGGTGTGGCATTACTGAGTGTTCTGAGTGAAATCAATGGCCCCAGTGTCTCTCCTCAGCCAGCCTCAGGGTGATCATTATCAGCTGAGTGAAGGTTTGGGCCAAGATAAAAGGGATGATACTTCCAAATTAAATTTAAGCATGGCTTCAAGCCTCTTTAAATGACCTTTAACAAATTCATAATAGTTTATTTTTGCTATTGGAAGAGACAGAAGATAATGATCATTGGGAAAGTAAAGTCTATGGTTCTGTGGCTCTGTTAGTGCAGTGCCGTCTGGTATTTGTGTACTGGGGGGTGGTGCTGGTACTGGGCGCCTAGAATTCCTGCTTTGTACCAGCCCACCTCCCATGTTCTCAGTTGCAAGCAGTAGGGGGCAATGTTGAGCTACGAGTTTGAGGCTTCAAGATGCTGGCCTTTGAGGAAAATGCGTACAAACGTACCATTAACTGTCAAGAATTATCCCTGTTGCTTCAAGTTAGCTGTAATCTCCAAGATTCCATAACACAGGAAATCAGTTGTGGGTTAACAAATTCAACAGCAATTTAACATAAAACGTGCAGTGTTTGGTGCACATTTGGATTCTGTAGAATTAGACTAATCTGAACAGCATTTCTGAACGTACTCACTTTGCTTCCAGGGAATAGATTACTCAAAATTATTATCCTTTTAGACAAATGATTCTTCTTTATCTCTGTGCTTTTTTTTTTTAATTGTAAAATCATGTGTGCGTTGTGGAAAGACTTCTGTAATTAACGTATTTTGCCCGTTCTGCACCATAGTATCGATCTCTTTTGGTGAAAACAAAACAAAACAAAACAAAACAAAACCTCAGGCAACATGTACATTACTTTTCACCTTTTGCTTGTGAGTAAAGCAACCTCTGACGGCCCTTGTACCAGGGAAGAGACTGGTGGTGTGATTTCTCTCTGTCTCGGTGTTCTTTTTTTTTTTTTCCACCACTTTGTTGTTGGAAGGTGTAGTCTCAGGTTGGATACAGAAGAATGGAAAATGAGCTTTGCAATCGCATTTCTTCCCTTAATGGTAATTGCTTCTTCACATGTCATAACCAGTCACATATTTCAGAACGTTTAGTCCACTGCGTCTAAAACTCCCCTAGCCTCTGCTTCCCATTCTCTGTTCCAGCAAGCGCTGTTTTTAACACAGTGTTTATTCTCGCCACTTCTCTTCCCCTCGCGCCCCCCCCCCCCGGCCCCCGCCCCAGGATAGTTTTACTCTGTGCTTGCTCTTGTGATGTAAATGTTAAACCTTATATTTGAATGACATTCTGATAAAATATCACATTTTCCCTGAATATTACCTCATGAATTTATGAGCCATTAAACCCAAAGCAGCACAACCCTTTCGTATAACCTAAGAATTTAGGCTTGCCTTTTCTTCTCATCTTTGCTCCCTGTTCAGGATGGTATTATTATAACCCTGGAACGCTATTCAGATATTTGTATTTTATTTTATTTTCTTAAACCAACCCACCACCTCACAACCAAGATTAGTGTATTATGAGGTGACTGACTCTTCAGGATAAGAGAGAGTTACCATTTGAAAGAAACTGTACAAGCTTTGCTTTCTGGGTGAAGAGAAATATGAAAAGCCGAAGTCTCCTGTGAGGTGAGGAAGTCTTGCTGTAGCCAGAGATTCAATGGATAGGCCATTTGTCTCTCAGGGTCTGGTATCGCACTTTGCAAAACTGACATTTATTTTACCTATAAAAACGTTTTAACACCATCAAATTCACAATGATACGAGAAAGAATGCTAGGTGTGATGTCCTCTAAATTGATGACATTTATTCATTTCCCTTTGACCTTAAAAAACAAAAGGTCAGTTTAGTATAATCCAATGGAAATATTCTAGAATAATTTCCAGAGTAAACATTTTCAGAAGTACTTATGATTGATATACTAGAGAGAAATTTCTTCATTTTTTTTTTTTTAGTGCTTCTTTCTTTTAGAAGAAAAGAGTAGAATCCTGATCATTTTGAATGTTTTGAATTGCATTTCCTGTCTTGACAGTTCTTCGTGCTGGGATAGCAGTGCGTTTAATATGGCAGTTGGCCTTTATAACCTTTATTGACTTTAGTGGGAAGGAGCCAAGACTGGATCATTTTAATGTATCCGTTTTGAAACCGTGTAAAACACAATATATAATTATGTTAGGTAAGCTATAGGCTGCATTAAATTCTACCCATTTATGTTAAAATTTGGCACAGGAGAGCAGAGAGACCTGGAAAACGAGTAGGTGTTTTATTTAATTCTGTTACCAGTTTCTTGTTGTTAAAAGTTTTAAGAGAGAAAGGTACTTACGAATGTAAAGGTTGTCCTTTACAAGTTCGTTATAATAGTTTAATTTCGAGATGAGTCATGCGTTTTTCCTTGTCATTTTGGCCTGTGTAAATCATCTGGGAGAGCTCATGCCAGGAGCCTGTCCACGGCTGTCTGGTGGAGCCTTTCCTAGTATAGGTTACATAGTCCTGGGCAGTGACTGAGCCTAGGAGCAGTTTGTTTGTTTTTGGAGAGATTAATGAAGCTATCATCACAATGCTTTAGATTAAATTCTTTGTAGCTGAACAGAGGAACAAGGCTGCTTTTTCATACACTGAAATATATACTCGGTATCCCATTATTGGTTATTCTATTACAGTTCAATTAGCTAAGTTCATTTTAAGCTTTCTTCTAAGATTAAAGATTTTGGGGGGTATGGGGAAGAAAGGGATATACTTATTAATTTTCTGCCCATGTTAATAGTGAAGTTACCAACTCATATTTATATACGTCTGTGTAAATATATGTGGGTGTATATATAAATATCTCCCCTTTTAGTGTGAATGTATATACTGAATTATATTTGCAAACATAATCCTTGCTTCCATTTTTCAGAAGTAGCATCACTGATAAAGGAGCAGAAT